GGGTGTGAAGGACAAGCTGGGAATGCCCCCCTTCCCATGAGGTTTCAGTTGCCTCATCATGACCTGCTCATACCTGGCTTTCCACAAAGCTCCCAAGCGGCTGCCATCTTTCTTTCCAGAGGGCAAGACCTTTAAGCCATTTTTATCTCACTTTTTCCATGGCCTTAGAAAGAGGCCTGATTTCATTTTTTATATGTTTTTATATGCCCACTTTTTCCAACATCTCTTGTTGAAGAGGCTTTCCTTGCTCCACTCCATACTTCTTTCTCCCTTGTCAAAGGTTAAATCAGCATTTTTGAAGGTCTATGTCAGGATATTCAACTCTATTCCATTTGTCAGAAGGTCTCTTTCTTTATAATATTATGCTGTTTTAATTACTACTGCATTGTAATGCAGTATGAAGTTGGGGAAGGTGATGCCTCCCATCTTCTTTTTTTCAAGGATCACTTTAGCTATTCATGGAGGTTTATTGTTACATATAAATTTCAGGAGTGTTTGATCTATTTCTTTAAAAAAATAAAAGTCGTGGGTATTCTTACAGCGACTGCCTTGGAGAGTGTTGCCATTTTGACAATGTTAATTTTCCAACTCATGAGCAGGGAATGCATCTCCATTTCCTCATGTCCTTTTTTATTTCTTAGTGTTTTGTCATTTTCTTTATATAGGTCCTTCATTAAACCAATTCCAAAGTACTCGATTTTCTGAAGAACAATTGTGAACAAGATTTTTTTAAAAATATCTCTTTCTTCTCTTTCATTATTTGTATATAGACAAGCTATGGACTTCTGGGTATAGATTTTGTAACCTGCTACTCTACTATATGATCTGTTGTTTCTAGGATCTTTTTGGTAGAGTCTTTAGAATTCAGTATAGTATCATGCATATACTAAATATAGTATCATGTCATCTGCAAATATATATCTGCAAATATATCTGCAAGTATCATGTCATCTGCAAATAGCGAGAGCTTGATCTCTTCCTTTCCTGTCTGGGTGCCCTTAATATCTTTTTCTTAATGAACTGCTATGGCAGGTACTTCTAGTATTATATTGAACAAAAGTGGTGAGAGAGGGCTATCTCTTGGGCCACACCCCTTCATATTTTTTGAGTGAAGATATTTTAGTTTACCATTTATCTTTTTACCAGAATTATTTTTTGTCAAAGTAGATGACAAACCTCAGAAGCTGAGAAGTTGACTGATGAACTTTCCGTTGATGGCACAAGACACTTCCCTGCTAGCCTGAGGCCACAGCTCCTCTGCACTGGGGCAGGATCAAATTCCCGTGATAGAAGAGCAAGTGCATCTCAGGTGCCCTTGATGGCTGCCTTCTGAGCTGATGGGACTTGAGCATCAGTGCCGTGCAGGTGTTCTTGACAAGGCCAAGTTCCCTGACACCCCACACTTCCCCAGGTGACAGTTGGGTTGAGAAGGAAAGCAGAAACTGGCTCCCTCTCACATCTCTACTGCCTACCCTGTTCCCTATTGCATCTAAGTCAGCTACGACTTTAGGTGACACAGCCAGGAGTCAGACAACTGTGAACATTTTGTAACCCACCCAGGACACGTACTTTTTTTTAATGGGGAAACAACTTCTCTCACTTACATATTATCTTCTGGCCAGGACTTCTATTTTATGGTTCATTCTATTCATGGAAGACTTATGAAGCATTTCTACAAGTTCACTTTGAAAATTGTAGTTAAAAGAATCAAACTGTTACATGCTTTTAAAAAAAACTGTATAAGAAACACTTTAATCAGGAATAGAGAGAAAGAGAACTAAGAAAACTTGGAATACCTGAATAGACCCATTCATATCAAGGAAATTGAAACTGTAATCAAACATCTTCCCAAAATCAACAGCCCAGGTCCAGATGAATTCACTAGCAAATTCTTCCAAATATTTAAAGAGCACCTGTTGCCAGTTCTACTCAAGCTTTTCCAGGAAATTGAAAAAACAGGAACTTTCCCAGTTTTTATGAGGCACATATCTCCCTTATACCAGAGCATCACTCTCCCCAACCTCAATCTCTGCTACAAAGCGGTAACAATTACAACAGCATGGTACTGGAAAAAAGGCAGAGCTGCAGACCAATGGAACAGAGTGGAATATCCCTACACACAACCCCAAACGTATGAACATCTAATCTTTGGTAAGGGAGCAAGAAATGTGAAGTGGAGCAAGGAAAGCCTCTTTAGCAAAAGGAGCTGGCATAACTGGATGGCTATATGCAAAACAATGGGCTTAGACCTCGATTTAACACCATGCACAAAAGCCAGATCAAAATGGTTTAAAGACCTTAACATCAGACCAGAATCCATAAGGTATATTGAAGACAAGTCCGGCAAAACCCTCCACGATATTGAGGCTAACAGTATCTTAAGAGATGACATGCCACTGACCAAGCAAGTGAAAACAGAGATAAACAACTGGGACTATCTTAAACTAAGAAACTTCTTCACTGCAAAAGATACAGCGACCAAAATAGAAAGACAATATAAAGAATGGGAGAGGATATTCACCCAATACCCATCTGATAAGAGGTTGATATCAAGGATATACAAAGCACTTGTTGAAATCCACAAGAATAAAACATCTAACCCCATAAAAAATGTAGTGATGAAATGAACAAAAACTTTCCCGAAGAAAAAATCCAAATGGCTAAAAGGCACATCAGAAAATGCTCTACATCACTAATCATCAGGAAGATGCACATCAAGACGACAATGAGATATCATCCCACACCACAGCGACTGGCCCACATCCAAAAGAATAAAAGCAACTGGTGTTGGTGCTGTGGGGAGAAAAGGACTTTCCTTCACTGCTGGTGGGAATGCTGACTGGTTCAACCCTTTTGGAAAATAGTATGGATGATCCTTAAAAAATTGAAAATTGAGTTCCCATTTGACCCAGCAATACCACTCCTGGGAATATATCCCAGAGAGGCAAAAAAGTACAGTCGAAATGACACTGCACTTGTGTGTTCATTGCTGCACTGTTCATAATAGCCAAAATATGGAAAAAAGCCAAGTACCAGAGAACAGATGACTGGTTAAAGAAACTTTGGTACATCTACACAATGGAATACTATGCAGCTGTTGGAAATGATAAAGTCATGGAATTTGCAAACAAGTGGTTCTACATAAAAAGTATCATGCTAAGTGAAATGAGTCATAAAGAGAGGGACAGACATAAAAATACTGCACTCATCTGGGAATATAAAGTAACAGAATGGAAGGTGAACACCCAGAATAGTTGAGATTAGTACCAGAAGTTCTGCTCCACGGCTTGGAAGCCGGCAGCACATACTGGGGGAAAAGGCAGCTCAGAGAGTGAAGGGCACACCAAGTAAAGGGTGTTTGGAGGATTCACTTGGGATGCAAGACGTGTGCTGAAAGTAGACTATAGACCGAACACAATGGCCACTCAGTACCTCTATTGAAAACCACAACACCCTAAAGGAAAGAGAGAGCAAAAGGGAATGCCCTGCCACAGAGGTGGGGTGGGGTGGGGGGATGGCGGTATTGGGAAGTCTACTGGGTTCATTGGTGATGGAGAATGGGCACTGATGGAGGGATGGGTATTTGATCACTGTATAACTGAAACCCAAGCACGAAAGGTTGTAAGTCTACAACTGTACCTCATGGTGTTTTAGTAATGAAAAATAACCATTCACAGTTCGAGGCTCTTTATGTTCCTGGAGCAAGTAGAAGCCATTGGGCTACACTAGCACTTAACAGGGATGAATGGAGATGTTACTGGTGCCTGCTCGAGCAAATTGATGAGCAACAGGATGACAAATGACAGGTGACATCATATAAATAATTTTTTTCAAAGTAACAATGCTTTGTGTATTATACAATTTCAGGTGTGTCTCATTAAAATTCATCATCATCTATCATCTATATGTACTACGTTAAATTTGCACCTGTAATTCCAATTCTATCCTTTACCATACAGTTAACCTACTTAACTCAGTTTTTGCTGAGTAGCCACTAATTAGTTTTATTATACAAAAGTATAATAAATTAATAAAAGAGAGAGAGAGAGAGGGAGAGAGAGAGAGAGAAACATGAAACATTCAAAAGTGAACAAAAGCAGCTCCAGAGCTAAGAATCTGAAAGGCTCTTGGGAAGAGGATATATGTGGATATTCTCCAAATTGCCCAGCCTGGAATTCTCTGCCAAGATAAGATTTTCACAATAAACAGTTTTGGATTTCTGCTAGCCTTCTTTTGTATTCTTCTGCATGCAAGAGCTTCTCCTCTCAGAGGAGGAATCCTCACTGGTACTGATGCCAGTTTGAAATTTATCTAGACTTTGTTTCTGCAATCAGTTTCTGGCTTTCATGCCTTTGGACTGCTTTCAGCTGAAGACAGTTATTTCTATAATCTACATCTTGTTTTCTTACTTACTAGCAAGAAAACACATTCTTGAGCCTCCCTGTCTGCCTGTTTCAGTAGCTCAATAGGCTGAGCACATGACATGCTTGCAGAGGTTCTGGGTTTAATCCTTGGAACCACATGGCCCCACCAAGGCTGAAGCAACAACCCCACCCTACCCAGAACAGAGTCAGGAGTAGCCATGGAACGCTACCAGCTGTTGCTCAAAATACAAAATTTAAAAGGAGCTAAAACTCAATTTTAATAGCATGGCCTCATCTAATAATATATGATCAGACTTACATAGAATGAATGATTCAGATAAGTTTCAGCCCTAGGATTATCAAGTAAACACACAAAATTTAATGCTGCTGAATCTGGCTACGCTGACAGAAATGCAACTATTCTCAGAGAAGATCAATATTTATAGTCTTAGAGTCATTCAATATTTAGGTTTGAAGCTGGTTTAGGTTTGAAACCAGGACCTGAGAAATCAGGGGTTTTGTTGCTCACTGCAGACAGCCCAACCCAGGAGAAAGCATTAAGTAAACTTCCAGATGTTGAGGTTTCAGGGTCACAACCACAGGCCTAGCAGAACACAGATTCAGAAATAATATAGTGTACTGCCACCCGGCAGGGAGATAGCATGATCACAAAGGTGGTTTCCCCAGGCCAAGGCTTTCCCATTGCATTCCACAAGTGCTGACCCCTGCGATTTTCTCAAATGTGGGAAACTCAACTGCATAATTTGTCATAGTGGGAGACTGTGTTTGCACATAGAAGGAAGGAAGGAAAGGAAGGAAGGAAGGAAGGAAGGAAGGAAGGAAGGAAGGAAGGAAGGAAGGAAGGAGAAAGAAAGAGAGAAAGAGAGAAAGAGAGAAAGAGAGAAAGAGAGAAAGAAAGAAAGAAAGAAAGAAAGAAAGAAAGAAAGAAAGAAAGAAAGAAAGCAAGCAAGCAAGCAAGCAAGCAAGCAATATAGGAAGCTTTCTTTTTCCACATTTAGAGAGAAATCTCCGTGTGAAAAGTGTCTCTCTCTCTGTAATCAGGAAGAAAAAGATGGTCCTAGATCATAAGAAACTCAGTGGAGAAACCACTAAATTTAGTTAACCTCTAGTTACCCTGTTTATTCAACTTTGTCTAATAACTTTACATAACTGCCTCCCCTACCCCAAATGCTTTCTTCATCTTTAGATGAAGATGGTGTTTCAGGAGGCTTTTGATTATAGGAAGGTGTAACAATGGAGTTGATGACTTTGACTCCCATTTATACATTGGTATACATGTTAATAGATTTCTGTTTGCTTTTCTCATTAATTTGTCTTTATTACAGGTGGATCTCAAACAGAAACCTAGAAAAGTGAAGCAAAAGTTATTTTTCTGTCTTCCACTTAAAGAGGAAAGATCTTAGTGGCAACCACTAAAATTATGTGATGTGCCCATCAAGTGGATAGGCCATGTTGGAGTGGGGGCTGGGGTGGGGAGGAAATCTGGGAGCACTGGTGAGGGAAGCTGGCACTGGTGAAAGGACTGGTATTGAATTATTGTGTGCCTAAAATGCAACTGTCAATAACTTCATAAATCATGGCTCTTTAATATCACTTATCAATTATCACTTATCACTTATCACTTATCACCATTAGTCGTCGATTTGCTCGAGCAGGCGCCAGTAACATCTCCATTTGTCCCTGTCGCGTGCTAGTGTAGCCCAATGGCATTTGTTCGCTCCCGGAACATGAAGGTCCTCATACCGATCGTTCATGATCTTGACAAAGAAGTCTGACCATCTGGAAGGTAGGCGGCCACGCGGTCTTTTGACATCCCGTGGAATCCAGTCGGTAACAGCTCTAGTCCAGCGGTCGTCTTTAAATCTCATTACGTGACCAGCCCATCTGATTTTCGACACCTTGGCAAATGAGACAGCGTCCCTGATTCTTGATCGTTGAGGGATGTCAGAACTCCAGATTCTTTCTCTCATTTGAGTGAAACGTGATATTCCAAGCATAGCTCTTTCTATTCTTCTTTGGGAGACCTGAATAGCGTTCTCATCTTGTTTGCGTAGGGCCCAGGTCTCTGAGGCATATGTTAATGCAGGAAGAACAGTGGAATCAAAGAGATGTGCCCGGAGCCGGAGGTTCTTCGTCCTCTTAGCTATTTCTTCGATGTTCTTGAAGGCATTCCAAGCCGCTCTCTTCCTCCTGCACAGCTCGGGTGCCAGGTCATTTGTCTTGGTGACCTCTCCACCTAGGTACACATAGCTGTTGCATTCGGAGATGGTCGTTCCGTTGAGAGCGAATGGGGCTTCAGGAACGAGGCTGTTTCTCATAAACATTGTCTTCGTAAGATTCAGCTGTAGTCCTACCTTTCCACACTCACGGTCAAAGTCGGCCAGCATTTGTGCCGCTTGGCTGATGTTTGGTGTTATTAAAACAATGTCATCAGCAAAGCGGAGGTGGTGTAGTTGCCGACCATCTATCTTCACTCCCATTCCTTCCCATTCCAGTCGTCGCATGATGTTCTCGAGGGTGGCACTGAAGAGTTTTGGTGAAATGGTATCACCCTGCCGCACCCCTCTCTTGACATCAACGATCACTTCTTTGTAGAATGGTGAGATCCTGATAGTGAATCCGCAATACAGCCCACGGAGGATCCTGATGTATTGGGCTTGAATGCCCTGATTGGCTAGGGCTTCAATGACCGCTTCCGTCTCAACAGAATCAAAGGCCTTCTTTAAATCAATGAACGTTAAACAGAGCAGCATCTTGAACTCCCGAGAAACCTCAATGAGCTTGGTTATCATGTGGATATGGTCGATGGTGCTGAATCCTTTGCGGAACCCGGCTTGCTCGCATGGTTGTCCTTCATCTAGTGTTCTGTCAATCCTATTTAGGATGACTCGAGTGAACAACTTGTAGATGACAGACAATAGGCAGATTGGGCGATAGTTGCCAATGTCATGGATGTCTCCCTTCTTGAACAGTAGTACGGTCCTGCTGGTTTTCCATTGGGATGGAACCTTGCATTCAGACAGGTAGCGAGTGAAGAGCCGAGCCAGTGTATTGATGAGTACTGACGGCAGGTTCTTCAGGTGTTCAGGTCTGACCTTGTCTGGGCCGGGTGCTGTTTGTTTCTTTACCAACAAAATGGCATGTCGGATTTCGGAAGGGAGAACATTGGGAACGACATATCCATCCTGTGGAATTTGGTATGTCGGCAAGTGGACATGGCTATCAAAGAGATTTGAGTAGAAGTCATGGATAATCTTCTCCATTGCCGTTCTGGAGGATGTGATGGATCCATCAGGACGTCGGAGGGCAGTCATCTTGGTCTTATAGTTGGCGAAGGACAGGCGGGCGTTACGAATACTTTTCCCGGCTTCTGCTACTACTTCCACTACCCAGCCGACGCCACACTCCAGGATGCTTTCCGGACCCGCGTGGCTGCAAGCGGCCGCGCGACACATCATAAGACACTAAATACCCATCTTCCGGAATTGTCATACCATATTTGATAGGGTTCAAATATGGTAACACCTACAAGGGTGATTAGAGTTCACCCCAAAAGCCTCTATCCCTCTCAGAAAGACTGGCAAGCTACCGAAAGTATTCCGCCCGCACGGAAGAGCCTGGCAAGCTATCCGCTGTGTATTCGATATGCCAAAACCAGTAACTACAACTGGTCTCATTCACCTGACCCTGATGGCTTCACCGACATGGCAGCACTGAGAAGGATGAGAAAGGAGAGGCCGACAAAATCTCAAGGCCGACCTAGGCTGCCACAACGAAGGAAGACAAAAATGATCATCTGTACTTTCAATGCACGTACGCTAGCATCAGATGCATCCATCAAGGACCTGATGGTACAAGCGCGAATGATCAAGTACGACATCATTGGTCTGACCGAGACAAGAAGGCACGAATCTCACTCACCATGCCGTTTTCGACACTGGAGAAGAATTGTTCCTCGGAACATGCGATAAAAGAGATGTTGGAGGCGTCGGTGTCCTTGTCAACACAAACTTGGCCAAGAGCATTGATTCATTCGAATGCCTAACAACCCGAATCGGACGTTTACATTTGAATAGATGTGGCTCACTGCCTGAAGTTTCTATCTTCGTTGTCTATGCACCAACATCTCATTATGATGAAAGAGAAATCAAGAAGTTCTACATGGAGCTAGAGAAGTTCTATAAAGAAGAGCACACCTTCTACAAGATCATTGTGGGTGATTTTAATGCCAAGATAGGACCGAGAAGATCAGCTGAAGAACTTCACATCGGGACCCATGGGCTAGAATGGAACGAACAGGGTGAGAGACTGTCTGAGTTCATCATGTCGACCAAGACCATTCATGGTAACTCACAGTTCCAGGAGGCAGAATCTAAACGATGGACATGGTAGTCTCCCAGTGGACGATTCCACAATGAAATAGACCACATCATATTCAATCGATGGTTTTGCCTGACTGATGTCACTGTTGTCCCAAAATTTCGAACAGGATCGGACCACCGACTCCTTCGTGCAAAATTCTACTTCACAGAGCGGGGAGAAAGGGCTGCAAAGTTCAAAAAGAGAACTCCCAGAATGACCACCAACTGGGAACTCTTTGATACTATTGCGGCAACATGGGAAGATGCCATTGTTGACAACATTGACGAGGAATACGATCGACTGGTTCAGCACCTCCATGAATGTGCGAGGAACGCCAAGAGAGAGATAGCCACAAAAAGTCGCCTATCTTCGAAAACTCTTGAGCTAATTCGCCAGCGTGGTTTGGCGCATGCCTCAGGCAACCACAAGCTAACGTCCGAGCTCACAAAGCAGTGCAGAGATGCGATCAAGGAAGACCTCAAAGAGAGAAGAGCAGAAGTACTGGTAGATGCGGCTCTTTAATAATTAAATTTAAATTATTTTAAAAAGAGAAAAGATCTTACATAGATGAGGCAGCCAGAAGTTGTCAAACTTTGTAGTGTATTCAGATTATGGGGGAACTTGGTGAAGGTATGAAGTCCCAGGTCCTCCCCTACTTCCACAAGCCTAGAGATCTTTGTTCACGATTAGTCCTCTAGGTAACTCTGATACACATCAAAATAAAGAACCAGGCAGCCAATATCTTATTATTGCTTAATCACCTCTAAGAGAACGTGCGCATCTTTCTTTCTCACTAGCCTAGAGACGTCAGTGTGGTCCTCTATATGGCCAGATCGCCTCTAAGCACAGGTGACTCTAGAACAATACAACAAGCCCAAATGGTAAAGTGCTGCCACAGAGACAGGTTGGATAGTGGGAGGGAAAGTGGGGGTATGTAGAGGGGCTAGGACACAGGCAAAGGGATGGGTGCTCCAACATTGTACAAGTAATACTCAACCATGAACACTGTAACTTTGTATCTCATTGTGATTCAACACATTTTTTTTAAATAAAGGTGAGCACATGTTACATGAACCTTGTGCCCATGTGCTGCTGCGTAGGGCATGTGTCACCCAAGCACTTGTGTAACCCAAATCTACTCTCCTCTCTTGAGATGTGGACTTTCACACATTCATAGTTTAATGCTGGGATATATACTGCCATATATACTGGCTCTTGCTCGCTCGCTCTCTCACTCTCCATCTTCAAAAGTTCCAAATAAAATCTGCTATACTTCAAAAAATAAAAAATAAAGGTGAGATGCTGAAAATCCACAAGTGCTGAATTTCAAAGACTTCGTGTATACATGAAATCCTAATGTTTGACTATTTTATCTTTTGTTTTCTTTTATTTTTTAATATGGCTATTGGGAGA